AACATTCTGGAAATCCTGTCTTGAATATTGAAAGCTTATTACAAATTTTTATGCTTGAAGAAACCTCTATGGGATTCCCCTTCTAGAATTTATAAGCATGTAAAGGATGAGGCAAATATTTATGTGTAGGTGCATTTATCAACTTACCTAAGCAAAATGAACATTATTATATCGTTCTTATGCTTTGAGCAAATGGTCTCACTGAAGAACAAACAATGTATTTACTTATTTTCTATTTAAATTGTATAGTAAAGAAATCTTTCATTTTTGTAAGAATGAAGCGTTCAAATAAAAAATGATAGTTGAAGAAAAAACTGAAAAACACGGTTTTATAGTGAATCGAACTAAAAGTTTATATAAAAAATAAATCTTAATATAAGAGTAAAATGAAGAACGAAAAATGTAATGTCATTGAGGGGAAAGCGTGGGGTGATCTGTATTAATTGTTATAATTTCTTACTAGTTCTATTCCGATATGCTGAGTTAGTGTAAAAATGTAGTACAAAGCACCCCACGTAAAAAACATGTTTCTTAGTTAGTTTTTTTTTTTACTATAATTTATTTTTCATTTTTTACTTCGATCTACTACAAAAGCCTGGTTTTTTTTTTTTTTTTTAGTTTTTAAAGCTATCATTTATTCTTTGTTAAATTTATCCTTGAGTTCGATGTTTGGAGCCGGAATTACGTGGCTGCTGGAACTAGTCTTGCTCTTCAATGAATATTAAATAATGGGTCTGAAGGGTATTTATTCTCTCCGTTTAAGGAGTCTCGGATGAGTCTCGTACCGTTGTATTTCAAAGATTCCGTCTTTATAGATACAAATCTAACTAATAAAAGTGTGTTAAGAAGAAATATTGAATGTCAATTATTATCACCTTTTAAACGTATTTCTATAATGTTAATCGGTATCATCACTTCTAAACGTATTGCTTTATCAAAATAAAAAAAAATACTTAGCAGTTAGAGCATAAATTTATCACCTTTTAAACTTATTGCTATAATGTTAATTCGTACCATCACTTCTAAACGTATATTGCTTTATAAAAATAAAAAAAATATATTTAGCAGTTAGAACATAAATTATTTTATTCACATGCACGGGTCTTTTTTTTCATTTCCATTTTCAGAAAAACCTGACTTATGTTATGGTAAAAATTGCTAACTCACCCAACGTACCCTTTCTCATACACAGAATATTTTTTTGTTTTATTTGTATTAACCACAAGCCCATTCGTGGTTTTTTTTTCGCAGCACCTTAAGTGCACCTTTTAGTCTCCAAATCTAGAAACGGCATATGAAATTAGTCGCCAAATCTGAAAATGGTTTATGCAATAAGTCGCCAAATCTATAAATCGTATTCCTAATTATCCTGATTAGGACAATGGAACAAAATTATGAAATTATTTTATTGTCATGGGTCCTTGACAAGTGTGCAAAATTTCGAATTAATCTTACTTTTTAAAGTGGGTAAAATTCAAGTTCAAAGATTCCGTTACATACAAGTGAAAACTTATAAAAGTGTGTTAAATGAAGAGCACCTTAATAGTAGTTATGAGCAAAACGTAGCTAAATTGCTTTATTAATGTAATTTTAGTAGTTACTATTATTAATAATAAAAATTTCATTTTTTTTACTCATAAGATTCACAATGAGGAATATTAATGGCACTCAAAATTAGGGCACTCTAATAGAACCAATAATTTGAATTTAATTGAAACGGTGCTTAGCTGTCCTGGGTTTTATAAACAATAACGCAAGTGTATGATTATGTGTACTTTTATTTCAAACAGCACGATTCAATATTGAACTTAGCAATATACTTCTTTTACTATGGTTTCATTATTTAAGGTATCCGAACACGTTCATACTATTTTTTGACAAAATAACATATCTAAGCATTACAAATATTTTTTAGGACTCAAACGCATTAAATATTCATATTTAACAAACAATATTTAATATAAATTGCCTAAATTTCACAAAAATCACAATTATAAGTGAAATTTTAGCAATATTTTTGTAAAACTTCAAAGCATTTAGAGAAAAAAGTAATAAACTTATATTAGTAAAAGTATTACCCAAACAAATTAGATACATTTATCTAGAGAAAGTACTAACATTTTAATATTTTATTAAAATTTGAAAATTTTAGAGCTGATTGAGTAAACATTATAAGAAAAGTCACATTTCTTATGAGACCATTATTTAAATAACAGGCCCGAACTCAAAAGGTATTCATACAATACGAAATACTTGAGTACATTCTCTACAAAATAGCATAAATATGAGGTTGAAAAAGTTTTATAGAAATACATTTGTAATATTTTGAGTTATCAGACTCGCCATGATAGATTTTGAGCAATTTAAATGCCCAATTCTGGTAGATCAAAGGCCCACATCCGGGTTTTCTCACTTTATAAAATTGATTGTAGCTTGACCTCTAGGTTGCCTAGAATCCAAACAAAGTATGTTTTGTACAGCCAAAAGATAGATCTATTCAATAAAATAAAACCAAAAATATCTGTTGTGACTGAATTTGATTATTTTCAATGTGTTCGGTTACCTTGAAAAATATTGTGCTTTTATAATTTTTCATTAACGAGCCATGTGCATCTGCGCAGCTTTTCTCTTAATTCTACTATAAGAGACCCCTTCCTGGCTGTTCCCGAGTTGAACTCGGGCAGGCGAAACGTACAATCTTGTCTCAACCCGATGGGGGTGCTGTAAAAATTTACACTGGGCAATCGGTCTTTCCAGAATTATCTAAAATGTGCTTTTAATCGTTTCGAATAAATGAAAAATACCGCGGGGTGAAATTTTCTGCAAAAAGGTGTACTTCTTCTAAGCATCCCTTTTCAAACTTGTCTGAAAGACATATTGTTGACTACCTTCCCCCAACAGACACTAATCCGACACGATGGTGTATTATTTGCAGCTCAAATAGAGACAGTAAACGAAGGAAGATAAGGAGAGAAACAAGCTTCTACTGCCCAGATTGTGATGTTGGGTTATGTACAGTACCGTGTTTTCGAATCAATCATACTCGATCAAATTTTGATAAATAATTTCATAATCATATATGCAAATGCAAAAGATGTAGATAAAATTTGTAATTCAAGGGAAAAACTCGGTATTCTAAACTTTATATTTATAGTTAGTGTGAATTTACTCTGAAGTCCAATGATTCCTGTCATACAGAAAGAAAACTTTACAGGTAAAGTATTCATAAAATATTTAAATAGATTTTTTCTCAATAAACTCATGATTTAAATAGGTTTTTTTTTTACATTAATTTTTAGAAATTTTGTATTCAAATGATGCTAATAAGTTTCAAAAGATATGTATGTTTGAAAGTATGCATTTAAAAAATTGATCTATTTTTGATCCATAATCCAGAAATAAAATGAGCCTGGAAGGGGTGAACCCACTGTGATCACTACTGTTATTACAGTATATTAAATCACTAATTTTTTAGCTACTTGAGGCATACGATTAATATTTATGAAATGCATTAAAAAAACCGATCACAATTTTTTAAGCGTAATCAAATGAACTTACTCATAGTTTATTGCATGCATATAATAAATCCTTATGCACATGCGTTTTTCCCCGGTCTGCAGAAGCTGTCAGTCACCAACGAAATGTCGAGGATTAATGAAATATTACTAAGCGAATTAGTACTTTTTTTTCCAAAAAAACCAAAATGACTGAAATGAAAATAGTGTTATCGGATTAAATTTTGTATAAAGCTTGACGATTCTCACGGACTAAAAAGACTAGGAAAGCATAAAAGAAAAAATAAAAGCTCCAAAAGGGAACTGATTTTAGTCCTTAAAGTGCATCATGCAGAATGAAATTTACAAACGACGTGACGTCTCAAAAAAGGCATTGTACGACAGTTTCTAAAAGGTAGCAGAATCGTCGGAAGAAGTAAATGACCATTATAGGGATTGTAATATTGGATCAAAAGTTCAATACCGGTATTCAGTACTTTTTTTTATCTTAATGCAGGGATACCGGTTTTAATACCGGTAGTAGATGTCTTAGGAAATTAAAGAAAATACCAATGTTTCTTTGTTTTATTTGCCACTTTGATTACAGAGTGTAAATATCACAAAAAAATAACTTGTAATTTTTAAATTATAACAGATATAAAGAATCACAATGAAGTAAAGGGACGTGTTATTTATTTAAATCACAAAAATAAGTGTAAATATGACTATTTAGTCTTTGGTACTATTACAAATTTTTGAAATGTGATCTTAAAAAACATAATGCATCAATTGTACAGTCATTAAGCCTGGAACGTAATTATGTCCAAAAATTACCAGCTGTCTAAAAGGCTCTTTCGGCATCTACGTTAGTTGGTGGTATTGTTAGCAATACGCGACATACTTTTTCCATGCATATTTACCTCTAAATCTCTCATCTTCAAATAAATCGATTTCTCGTAGGATGGTTTTGGATACAGCTGATTTCTGCGTTGTATTTTGGTTTGTTGAAATGTTTTTAGTTATCGCTAATTCTGATATTTGTTCAAGAGGCAATTCCTTTTCACTATGGATATCAGTGTCATAATCATCTGTGCCGAATTCTTCTGAATGTGGATAAGGTTTGTGGCTAAAAACTTTTTAAGAAAATTTACTGTAAACTTCATCAAATGTTAATTGGTTAGTTTCTTTTCTTCTTTTTCATTTTTAAAATCATGGCGATGTGATAAAACAAATGTGAGGTATGCAAACAGAATTTGAATAACAAACTCTCCAATTTTTACAAGCTTTTATTTAACTTGCAAAGTAGTTTGTTCGGGTGGAGAATCTAGCAACTCAATTTTTAAGCTGATGTCTCCAACCGATGGAGTTGAAATTTTGTATACACGTTTAGTTTGGATGAAAATGCATGTTTTGACGATTTATATTCCGATATCGACCTAGTTACTGTCTTGTCTAGTTACTGTCTTCTCTTAAGGGTAGCATGGTTACAATAACACTGGTATCAACAGAAAGCATAGATCAGATGGTAAAGCGCTCGCTTATCACGCGAGAGGTTCGGGGATCGATACCCCGCGCCTCTGATTGTTTCTTTTTCGTGTAAAATATTTTTGAAATTCGTTTAATTTATATAACGAGATATTTTACAATACTTCCATTCTGCGTACGTACAAAGAATGTTATATTTTTACTGTTCTACAGGGAACACTAAGAAAGAAAAATCTATCAAACTATTTATATTTACTTTGAAACATTCTACGATATCTATTTACTCGCTGCTAGTTTCTCCCGTAGCACTTTCAACTGACCTAGTTACTGTAACGATCTTGTTCAGGTGTTAAGGCGAGCATGTTTACAATAACACAGGTGTGGACAAGGAGCGTAGATCAGATGGTAGAGCGCTCGCTTTGCAGGTGATAGGTACGGGGATTGATACCTTGCGCCTCCAATTATAATTGTTTCTTTTTGTGCAAAATATTTGATTTGTACAACGAGATATTTTACAATACTTCCCCTCTGTACACGTACAAAGTATGTTATATTTTACAAGGTTTTATTTAATTTGCAATAAAAATTGTTCGGCTGGAATCTTGTAACTCAATTTTGAAGCGGATGTCTTCAACCGATTGAGCTGAAATTTTTTATACACATTTAGTTTGAATGACAATGCATGTTTTGACCATTTATATTCCGATACCGCATTTAGTAAAAAAGACAAGCTGCATGGCCCGGAGTTGCACGGGCTTTCTCTACTTTTATAAATTTTCCCTTTCCTTCACAAAATCAGCACTTCTAATACTCTTTTTGAAAATGAATTCCCCCCTTTTCCGCTTAACCTGATGTTGCTCGGGCTTTTACCGAGTGTATAACTTTAAATTCCTTGTTTCGAAATTTCTCCGCTTCTTTTCTTTTTCAGACAGGTTTACGTCCTCCGGCGTTGTACAAACATTTTTAAATGCATAACATATTGTCATGGAAATTCCCCTGACGCTATCAGAGCTCTCGAGTAAGTGAACATTCACCGATTCTTAAGCATCTTGACAGGTGCAGCCTTCTAGTGGCACAAAAAATAATGAATTATTGCACACAAAAAAATTCGTAAAAAAAGTTTTCAACGTTTTATTTTTTAAATCACTTACAGTAAAAATCAAAGTATGAGTTTTTTAAAAATCATTTTCAAATAAACGCATAGATATTTATTTATTTTAGAAAAAGTCATATGTAAAATATCGTTGTTTTGTAAAAAAAAAAAAAAACCTGTATTGTGCCGAGATAAATTTTCTTTCCAATTACAAAATTGTTGGCGAAGTTTTTAAATGCACGAATAAAATTTTGAGTATTTTTAAAACAATCATAAAAACTAAGCGGTGTTGTTGTTTCGAACCTGGGTACAAAGTTTAATAATCCTAAGCGTTCAATCCACGAAATCGTTTCAAAAAAAGAAAAAAAAAGACTTGTAAAAAAATAAAGAAGAGATATTAAATTTCGCATTGCGTTCTTTGTTAAATTTTTTTATGGGGGGGAGCTTCATTTTTAAGGTGCTTGACTGGTGCAAAAATGACAATTTTGATGAAAAGGGCAAATTATTTTTACTTTATATTTTATATAGTTGAATTTTCGGCTTTCTAAAAATACCTTACTTTTGTTTGTACTTCAATTATTTACGAAGTTATAACAGTTTTATGTCAAGAGAGAGCAGCAAAAACAACCAGAAGTTAGGTATCGAAACCGGAAGTGTTTGCATTTTAAAACTTTCTTTACACTTTTTTGGTGTTTACCGAATTTATTTAAAAAATATTAACTTAGGTAAGGTAATGACGGGACATGATGATATTTTTAAAAAAATAAGTTATCAGTTTTAAGTGAAAATTGGCAAATAATTTCGTAATTTTTGTCATTTTCCGATTTTCTTATGCTCTTGCTTCCCGATATTTTGTTTCATATTTAACTTTATTTTCTATATTTGATAGAAAACTCTGTTCTTAAAGACAAAATATTAATTAATTATGCCTAAAGCAAGGTCTGTGAGGTCTAAGGAATTTGCTTCATCATTGGAATGTTGAGACACAGAGCTGATCCCAATAATACTTAGTCAGTTGGTGACAAAAAGTAGAAATATATTCAAAAATGTTTCGAAATTTACTCAGAAAGCCTTTTTCAGTAACATTTTATGGAGTATTTTACTTAACGATATAATTATTAAACTTGAAACATTTCGCTTAAGTTCATTATTAACGTTAATTTCTTTTAATTTCTAATATACAGGTTTATTATCATTATATATATATATATATATATATATATATATATATATATATATATATATATATATAATAGAAATGCAAATACTTCCCTTCCTAAGATCTTGTACATGGATTTGTAAAGTTTTATCTGGAACGCTTTTTAACTTCTGTAGTTCACCCTTTAGAATATAAAAAATGTTCGCGGAAAAAAAAGCTGCATAGTAAACAAAATTACTAAGGATGAAAAAAGTCAAAGTGTATTCACATGGAGGTTTTAAAAGCTGTTCTTTATATGCTTTTCATTATAATTATTTAAAACCTTTGTCATAAGCAATATTTTAAAAAAAAATTGTTGGGAATATTTACGGGCAAAATAACACACAATAATATATTTTATATTACATATTTCTTAAGCTCTAATATACTTAGTGGAAATATATACCTATTTTTCCATATAAAAATATCATTTTTTAACGTAATAAAGTTTTTCTAGTGTGCTTTTTACATCTCTAATTCGTATTTAAAAAACTATCCATTTAGACGTTAAGAAAAGCTTTTTTGACTATAAAATTGGTAACAAAGTTAAAAAAAAAGAATTTGTGTGTGTGTGTGTGAAACAAATATATAATACTGGTATGGGATTATAAACGGTTTATTTTCTTTTGATATAAAGAGGTTTTACGTTGTTTAAGCGGTATAATTTTTTGAGATTTAGATTTTAAATCTTTAAATGCGTTTTTCTCCGAAACAGATTTTTCCATATTTTACCGCATGTCAAACATGATATCTCAAAATGTCCTTGAGATAATTGCATGAAATTTAGCATCATTGTTTATTATTATAGTATGCATGTTGTGCACTAGAGAATAAGAAAAAACAATATATTTACCTTTTTTTATGATTGTTTTTCTTTGTGAGAAAAGCAAAAATTTTGAAAAATTTTCCTTTTGTGCACTTTTTGACCCTTTATTTTGTGATAAATTGAAATTATTCAAAGATGATTGAGCAAAACATAGGTAAACGCTTTCTGAATAAAATTCAAAGAGCTTTCTTTATCTTATGCATTAGAATTTATTTTACAGTGTTTGCCGTGATGTGCAAAAAATGCCTAATTTAACCTAAAATTGTCAATTTTCTTACAAAAATAAATTGAATTTTTTTTCTTTGTCATTTTTATAAGTTTTCAGTTATAATCAAACAAAAAATGAGTTTAAGAACGAACTTTCAGCATTATTTCAAAAAAATGTTCCCGCAACTAGTCAGGCACCATAAGTTATTGCTTTCAAACTTCATATAGCGATTGCAAACAACGTAATTTTTGAACAAAAAAATGTAACAAAAATAATCCTTAAATATTTCTCGCAAAAAGGGAAAAAATGAAAAACACAATTTTTTTTAAAACCGTAATTTTTGAGCAATTTTTTCAAACTTTGTGCAGATTACGGATAATATCGTTCTACACACAGAGAAAAAATTTCATGAGATTATTTTTATAAATAAAGAAAAAAGTATTTAAATATATAAAATTTTGAGTATTTTTTTAAGAATCGAAAAAAACAATTGCATTTTATTTTCTAAATGACTGACTCTAAGAAAGAAAAGCATGAAATTTATTAGTGTAGAATATCATTTCATCAAATTGAAAGAAAATTCAATCGTATCGACTTAGAAATCATTTTCATAAAAACGTACCGATTTTGACTCATTTTAGAAAAAATCGTAAAAAATAGAATTTGTCATTATTTTGTAAAATAAATTGTCCCGTATCGTGGCGAAGTAAATGATCTTTCCAAATCTGCAATTTTTTTTTTTTGTCTGACACTTATTAAAAAATTAAATCGTGTGTTAGAAACGTCTGGGATAAAAAAAGGTCGGTAAATTGGAAGTTCGCCACCTGGCGGGAAAAAATGGCAATAATTATGCGTTTTAAGGTTTTTAATTAATATCTTTTTAACTCATTGCACTATTGGAATATAAGTGGTCAAAACGGATTCCTCGGATCATTTCCCAGCTTTTGGTACCTGTGGCGAGTTTCTGAGTCATACGGTTCATGAGAAGATACACCTAGTCGTAAAGTCGCATACGTTTGTTTGCCTTCGAGTTTTAATAGTGTAGATATTAATTAAAGTTATTTTTTCGGGTGGAATCTTACAACTCAATTTTGAAGCTGGTGTCTTCAAGCGATTGAGCTGAAACTTTGTTTACGTTTTGTTTAGATGACAATAGATGTTTTGATGATTTATATTCCGATATCGCAATTAGTTATAAAAAAATGTTAAGTTAAAACTTTTTACTCCTGTTAGCTTTTAATTCTGCCCAGCAGCTTATCGGATTGAGCTAAAAGAAGTTCCGATTTTTCAACCTTTTTTAAAAAAACATCTTATTCTTTCTGTCAAACTGAGACAAAAAATAATAACCTAATGGGAAAGTTCATTTATTTCGCCACGATACGATATAATTTGTTTAAAAAAATCATATTTCTATTTTTTACAATTTTTTTTTTTCTAAAATGAGTCAAAATCAATGCGTTTTCATGAAAATGATTTCTAAATCGTTTCATATGATTTTTTTTCGTGTTAATGAATCGATATTCTGCATTAAGAAAGTTCAGGCTTTTCTCTTTTAGAATCAGTCATTTAAAAAATAAAATGTCTAAATTTTTTTTTTTACGATTTTTCAAAAAATATTCAAATTTTTTGAATAAAACATTTAAAAACTTCGTCATTTTTAAATATAATCGCACGAAAATATTTTCTCGCTTGTAGAATAGTATTATCCAAATTTTGCACAAAATTGAAAAAATTGGTATAAAATTACGGATTAAAAAATTGTGCTTTTCA